TTAATTAAAAAGTACTTACAAAGCATCTACCAGCTAGGGCTACACAGTGTTCATGGTTTCTGGGCATGTAGCAGACGACACAGCAGGTATTCCTACATCATAACAACAGACCAGGAGGTACATTTAATTGGAAATTCTCCTATGCAGGGCTCCACGTGTCTTAGAGAGGAAGACTTGTTCTACGACCCAGTTATTCTTCAGCCCATTGCAATAGCTGGCACATTAACATGCATTTGATAAATATTTATTATTAGTTATTACTGTGAAAACTTTTGGTACATGTTTGTTGCATGACCATATGAATGTGCCCTAAAGCCACAAGGCTGGTAGTTGGTGAAGCCAGAGTTTGAACCCAGTATTGACAGTAGTAGATACAGTTGCCATTGCCTGTGTCTTTACCAGGGCCTTTTCTCTGTCCTGCATCATTTCACTGACTACTCACAAACTCCTTAGAAAGAGGTATTATTCTACTTTTTAACCGATGAGGATTTGGAGTCCCAGAGTCCATAAATGCCTTGCCCAAGATCCCTTGCTGTGTCTGTCTCCTTCAAACCCTAAATTCCTCTGTGCTCAAATCCTGTTCTATTCACAGCCCTTCTATTCACAGCCAGGGTATCCTAGGCGGCCTCCAAGGGAGCCTTCCATTTATTAAGTCACTGGATCTCTGGGTGCCAAGCAATCCGTTTGGCTGATTTTTTTCCTCCCTACTGAATTGACTAATTTGTTTTACAGAATTGACCACGTTGACCAGTCATTTTAATAGTAAATTAAATTATGTTTGTTCATTTTTTTTCTTTAACTAAGTCTCCAACTGCCAGGAACCTGCCTGTGCACTAAGGGTGAGATGCACCCCTAAATTGCTATCCAAGGACAGACAGTTATTAATTAGGAAATGTTGGGCATGTACTTAACGTCTGTAAGTGTCAGTTACCTTATCATTGGAAATGAGATGCTATCAATTCCTGCCTAATCTGGTTAATGACAGGATTAAAAGAAGTGACTGTTTAGCTCCTGAAACAGTGCTTCATCTTTAAGGAATTTTGTTTTTGCAGTAGCTGTTATTATCACACTTACCAGTATTAGTGTTAATCTTAACATTTAATTTCAATATTATCCTGTTCTACAGCCTTCACTGACCTCCTTAACCTAGATCATTTAGCTTCCTGCAAAGGAAAGCAGGGTAAATTACTTGCTCCTCATTGGATAATGCTTCTTCCTTATGGAGTTTAAATTGTATTATAAAAATTGGCTCAAGTCTCTTATTCCCTATCCTCTCTTCTAATTATAGGCACTTTTAATTTAAGTTCATTCATCTTTTCACTACCAGCCTTTCATTGTGCTTAACATATTAGTGCTCCATGGAGGCTGTTGAATTGAATGAATAGGTCAAATGACTATTCACAGTGAGTAGATAGGGCCATTCTTATTGGTGTGTCTTTGCTGATGCCTTTAATGGCATTACCTTAGTTTTCATAAGTGTAAAGACAGTATAATATTGACCTACATCTCTTTCTTTCTATAAAATTTTCACTATATGAGATCAATTTTAATTTTTGTACTTTTTTTTAAAGGTTTGCTAGTGCTATACTATATCCATTTTTCTTCTGCCATTCCTGCTGGAAGGCTTTATGAAAAGTCTTACTTTCATTTAAATTTGTATTTCCCACATCGTTTTAAGGTATACATTGTACTCTTCCCCCCATCATGAATACATTACCATTTTACTCTGTCATTATGCTGTCAATCTGAAAAGCCCTTGAGAAAGAAAGAGAGGCCTTATTTTAAATAGGCCTGATACTTTGCTGAAGAGGTGAGTGCACTATCTACAATTCTATTGTCAAGAACAGGCTTTTGAAATTTTGAAGTGAAGAAATGAAATTTAGCAGAGCTACCAAACCATGAAAGATCTATGAAGAATTAAAAAAAATATGAGGAAAAAAACAGTAAAAGTCTAAAGACATTGCCAGATGGACAAAACTCACTGTAGAGTTCTAGAGAAGGTCTTTGTCATATTCTGAAATAACTCAATATTCAACGAGGGATGTGCTGAATGGCCAGACTGAGAATAAAAACATGGAATTTACCCTAAGGAAAAATATGTAGTTGAAGACCTCTGAAGATCAGATTACCATGCCATTGCTAGTGGTCATGAAGTAGAACATTTTTAGCTTGGATTTTTTGATGAAGGTGATAGAGATTGCAGTATCAATAGGAGGAAAATAGGAAAAGAGAAAAATTTAGTAACCATTTTCAGATAAATATTTTCCAAGCAGTGGCAAGAGGTTTCCTCTGTCTCCAATGAAGTTTGGATGAGGTAATTCACTTGAAGTAAAGCAGGAGCGATTTATGTTAGGATTCAGGCAAATTTCTGCTTTCTGAGATTCTTGAAAATGTTACTAAGCAGAACAGGATTTGCCCCACAAACAAGGCTGCGGAGTTTCCCAAGATTCCACGTCTTTAGGAAGGATTTCCAGGGACCGCACTGCCACAGTCCCAAGTGTTCTCTGGGATAATCTGACCTGATTCACAAAGGAAGCCTATAGAATTTCATGGACTTCTGACTTTACATAAAAAGGTGGGTGGCAACCAGGCAGGGGAATAAATGAGTTCTTTTGCAGATGGGAGCTCAGACCAACCCATTTGCTTTGTAACTGTGCAAATGCCACAGCAAATGATAAACTGCAGTTAATTTTTGCCAACTATACAAAGAATTAGTACTTTTTCTTAAAAGTGAATGTTTTCTGATGTAAAGGAATTGATTAGGTTAAAGTTTCATACTGAAGATTGGGGTGGGGGAAAAATTCTTTAAGCTGCTTCCATGAAAAATCTCAATCAACTGATGCTAGCTTTTGCTTTGCAAAACTTTGACATATGTCCCTTGACCTTTACCAACTACCCTTTCACGTTTGACACTTAACATTTGCTACATGATTAAAATTCAGCGTTAATTAATTTCAACATTATCAGTTAAGTTATATTTAGCTAAGAACACTCACTTTTGTCTTTTGTGAGTAGCATAGCAGTATTATTACAAAGAGGTAGTCAGGAGGGCAACAGAGATAGGAGAAGAGAAGAATGATTCAGTGTGTAGATAATTGTTTCGAGTGAAATTTAGCTTGGTATTTTTGTTCCTGTCCTCAGTAGAACTGAGATTTAGCACCTCCCGCTGGCATTTAGCCTCCACCCCCACGTAGAAGGAGGCTGTGCTGTGTGGATGCTGAGAATGAACCACACCAGAATTAAATTATAGCACAGTTCTAACACTGGCAGGAGTTTTCTCTGGCCAGCCCTTGGGTACAAACCTGATGATCCCAAAAAGAGAGGCAAGAGCTTTGCTAAAAATGATCGCCATATGGAGTGGCATCCTCATTGATGAGGGAGGTTGACATGATTGTATAAACAGCATGGCCTCAAAGCAGTGACCATTTCCAACGTAAAAAATCAAAGCCAGAACGTTTCAGCATACCAGTTACAGTTTGAAGGTTAAAAACGTCATCCATGAAGTTGTCTTACAAATGACATCCTATGGTGTGACCAAAGAGTGCATCAGAAATAGATAAAAGCCAAGAAACTTGATCTTTTCCTCTGAGTTTTCCAACTGAGAAACATTTTTATTATCTTCTCTACTCCATGTGTTTTTGCTTTTTTGATAGGAATGTGGATAGTCAAATCTTGCTTTTACCTAAAGCTCAAGATGCTATACAGCCATTAGGGTCTTTGGGGTGTTAGCACAAAATTGTAGCCTGTAAGTTTATTATGTCTATGAAATACCTACTTTTCATTCTTGCTCATACAGAACAGTAAGTGAGAGGCTTTCCAATTGGTTGAGAGAGCAGGTGGAATAGAATTTATATGCAAATTGTCCATGTACGGCTTGTTGAAGACCTAGTAAGAGACATTTGCCTCCTTGTGACAGTATACCAGATGTCCCTCAGTTTAGACAAAACAAAACAAATAAAATTTATAAGCCTCTTTATTTGTGTATCACAAAACATTCTGCCGTCAGTGATTCCGCTTTTATATTCTAGGATCTGGCCCAATGCCCTCTGTTCATCCTCTTCCTATAGTGGAGGGAGTTGGGGCTCTGGCAGATTTTGTATTCTTGTCCACTCATTAGAAAACATTTGCCACCTCCACTTTGTAGTGTTAGTAGTCAGGTGACTCGGCATCAAGCTACAACTCATTAGTCAGGCAATGCTTGAATGCCTTTGGATTGGTACTTGACCTTACCTCTTAATTCTGAGCCAAGTCTACCTTTGTTCTTAATGGGACACCAAATGCATATGTGAGATCATGTGAAAACCTAATCTTATTTCTAGGATGGGATCTCTGGATTATTCTTAGTTGTTTTGATTTCTCCACCTCATGATAGTTGAGTCCTATTTCTGAAAACTAGTATTATGATTAGAGCTTTACTATCATTGAAAGCATCCTTGTTTTAACCTGCCTCTAGCCTCTGACATGGGCCTTCTCTGGTTTCCCTGTCACCTGGCTCTGCTCATATGCCTGTCACAATAACCCTGTCTCCTCCTACCTCCATCAGTCACTCGGCCTTCTGGACACTCTGACTCATGTTTCATCCTAGACTGACTCTTGTGGTTCAGATTTTATTCACATACCCTATGCCTTCCCACTTCAGTTGACCTTAGCCAATCCTTGCCATATGAAGCAATTCAGGAAGGAGATAAGCTTTGATGTCACGGGAGCACACATAAATGAGATGCATAAATCATCAACTACATGTATTTAGGAACACATAAGCTTTCCTTTAAAGAGTGGGAAGATCTTATACAAATATAGCTTCCTAGTCTTCAAGTCTTTTTACTCTCCTTTGGCTTCATTTGAGGGATGATAAGAGGAAACACAGTCACTTCAAACATTTGCTTTCAAATGAAAAGCTTAGATATCTTTTTCTTAGTGTGAACTGAATAGGTAGCTGTCCATGCAACTTGAAATTGAGGATTTTTGGGTAATTTTTCTCTCTGTTTTTCCATTATAAGGTGTTGCACAATGGCCTCGTTATGGAGATGAACCATCCGGCAGTGGGGAAGATTTCAGTCCCAGGTTTGGACATTTTTGTTACTTTTTCTAATGCTTTTCTTCATTAATTGTCTCATTTGCTGTCTCCTACAGGTAACTGTTAATTCCCTAAAATAACTTATCAAGACATTATCCAAATTTACAATTTGGGTTGAAAGTGGGTGGTGGAAACACACTTGCAAGAAGGAAAGCTGAGACTACAGGGCTCTGTCTTAGCTCTAAGGAATGTCTAATTGTCACATTTCCTCATTCCATTTTGTATATCCAAAAACGAATGACATAATTATCATCCGATGGTTAATAATAAATGGGAAACTATTTAAAAAAACCAATATGGTCATTTCAGATCGAGCAAAAAATAGGCAAGATAGAAGCAGCCATTTTCTTCCATAACTATGGTTTATGATACTGATTTTAGTTTTGCAAATCAAGAAGCTAAGTGCTTTCATTAAACCTGGAACTGATTGACTTTTTTGTAAGTTGACTCATTACTACATAAACCTACCCAAGACTGCTGCTTATGCCATGCCAGCCCTTGGATTTCCAGAGGCCCTCTCTTTCTGATAGCTGGAGTTGCATGCCCACTCTGAGAGCATCCTGTTAAACAGTTGATGGATCAATACCTCGTGAGGATCAATACCTCATACTCACTGAGTTCACATTTCTCCAGTCTGTTTTTTCTCTCTCCTATGGGCCATGTATAGAAAGCACTCCAAGTTCTTGTTCATCATATCCTTACTTTTGACATGATCTATGAACCATTTTTCTTTTCTACCAATACAAGACAAAGAAATTAGCTAGGAGCTAACCTTCATTATTGTTTTCCTGAAACTTTTCCCTACTCACTTTGCTTGGCATTTTGGCATTCCTCAAACTCCTGTCACCCAGGTCAAATGATATAAGGCATTTATATCTACAGGCATCTGGTCTTCTTGTTGAGTAACTGTCATTATTAATTTCATTGTAAATGTGATCTAAGTCTAAGATGTAGGATCAGCTTAATGATAATTTCCCCAAACAAACCAGATCATGACCATTGACAGGCAAAAGGCTAAGAAGAGAGAAGTATGGAGGACAGAGGAAATTGAGTAGGAAATTGCTAATGTATAAGTGTATAAGGAATTAATATACTTATTTGTTTGTTTATTGGGACCAGAAGTTGAACCCAGGACTTTCACACTGAGCTAAATCCACAGTGATTTTTTTTTAAATTTTGAGATAAGGTCTTGTCAAGTTGCTGAGTTACCAGGCTGGACTCAGTCCTCCCAGTGTGCTAGAATGACAGGTGTATGTTGTGGTACCCAGGTGAGATACCACATAGCACAAAAAGGTAATGGAAAAACTACTTGCTAAAAGCTAAGAAGTTCATTCATTCATACAAAGAAGCATATGCTCTGTGCTAGGCACTACTTTAGGTTTTAAAAATGAACCAGACAACTTGGACCTTGGCCACATGGAGTTTGTACTTAACAGAATGTCAGCTTATATGAGCAACAACAAATGTTTCTAGGACTTCAAAGCAAAGAAAGAATAGTGTTCTTGCCCCAGAGAATTATGGGAGCAGGTGGGAACTTGGGTAGTTTGAGTGGTCAGAGAAAGCTGGCCTGTGAGGGGCTGGGGGGAGTATTGTATGCTGTAGGACTGGTGTGTGAGAAGGCCCTGTGGTAGAAAGATCAGGTGTCCTCAAGCAGCACAGAAGAGCTGTGTGAAGTGTGGGACAGGACTGAGACTAACAGGTTGTCATGGCCCTGAGGCCTTGCTGGGGCTGAGTCAACCCCGATATTAAGCATGAGGGCAGCCTCTCCCAACCTATAACTCAGAGAAGGAGTCCAGTGAGGAAATTCTGACAGGAGTTTAGTTGATGCTGTCTTAAATTAGGGTCATGGTGGTAAAAAAGAGAAGGGGGTGATCAGAACCAAAAAAATGTAAGCATAGTGCTTTCATTCTGAAGAGACTTTAAAGGGCCTTTCTAGTACTTTTAAGCTTTTAAATAGTGGATCTGATTTTCCAAATTGGATACCTAAAATAGGTCAAAGCAGCCAGGTGTGATGGTACAAACCATAATGCTAACACTCTGGGGGTCTGAGGCAGGAAGATCACAAGTTCAAGTCCATCTTGGGCAACTTAGGGACATCTCACCTCAAAATAAAGAAATGAAAACTAAATGGGGCTAATGATGGAGCTTAGTGTGATGGCCCAGTACCAATGGATAGATAGGTAGATAAATAGATAGGTAGATAGATAGATAGATAGATAGATAGATAGACAGATAGATAGACAGACAGATAGAATAGGTCAAAGCAGGGATTTCCTGAATGATAGCTTGGTGCCCCATCTCTGCAGCTTTCCTCCTCTGTCCTTCCTGTACCATGATTCTGCAAACGTCTTTCCACGGGATCATGAACCCCAAAGCACAATTCAGAAACTTTTGGTCTAACATAAGCACACGTGTAAAAGATGATGTTCTATAGAGCCATGGAGTCCCCGGTGCATTAGAGGAAAGGGTAAATGCGCAAAGGTCAGTACTACTGTCAGCATGACAGAGACACAAAAACGTCAGTAAGGAACCTAGGATGAATGCACTGGCTGGATCACTCCCTCCATCATTCAGATGTGAATGTGCTGGGGTTTCAGGATAAAGGAATGAAGAATCAATCTCAGGAAAAGGGAGATGTTCTCAGGTTTCTCAAGGGGAAGAATATCCCTGTTGTTCACTTTCATTTAAAGACATAGTGTCACACTAATGCTGTGTAAAACCCACCAAATCTCAAAGGCATTAAGAGCGTGGCTGCAGTGTGGGTCAGCCGGAAGATGCTGATACAGATGCGGCTTGGCTGGGTGGCTCTGCGTCTCCTGGCATGTTTGCCTGTCTGCATCCCTGCTGCTGGCTGGCCTCAGCTCTGCTATGATGTCTTTCTCATTCTCATGGCTGAAGAACCCACAGAAAGCACAGAGCCTATTGAGATGTGGGAGCAGAACAAGCAAGCAAGCCAACCTCGTTGCCTACATTGCACTGGCCAAAGCACGTGATCTGTTTAAAAGATGCTTTGATTACATGGAGAAGGGCATGAGTGAGAAGTTAATAATGGGAACGATAAACTTAGTTTATAGTGATAAAAGTCTCAGCTCAGCTCTATAGCAGTCTCCCCCTCCACACACTTTAACTCCCTTTGGAAAATTCCTTTTCATTTCTCTCACTTCTGCAGAGATTCAGGATCGTTATCGGTTTGGGTACATCTGCCTTACTGTCTTCCTGAAGACTTAACAGGAGAATTCTCTGATTAAAGATGAAATGGATGTTGCTAGATTATCTGTGGAATTATGAGTCTGTCTTTCTGTCTCTCTGTCTCTCTCTCTCTCTCTCTCTCTCTCTCTCTCTCTCTCTTTCTTGTGTGTGTGTTTGAAACAGGGTTTTGCTATGCAGAGCAGTCTGGCCTTGAACTCACTTTGTAGCCCAGGGGATCCTCCTGCCTCTGCCTCCCGAGTGCTGAGTGACTTTTGAGGGCAGTATTGTGGATTCCTCATGGAAGGGAAGTAAGAATTCTGTTGACAGTTGTCAGACAAGATGATACTACTGCATCTCTTAATTCCATATATACCAATAAGGGACCACTTAGGACAAGAGATAATTAGTAATTAAATTCACTTTTTTCCCCTGAGGACTTCTACATATCTTTAACTGTGTTTGTGTACTTGTGATACTTCTACTTTTATTTGTAGGGCTGTACTCACTGAAGACTTCATGAATATCATAGATGTAACTGAAGTCTCTTAGGACGCTCTCATAAGTTTGCCGAAAGTGGAAACACAGCCAGGGATTTAGTTCAGTAGTATAAGCACCTGCCTGGCAAGTGTGAGGTCATGAGTTTGATCCCTGGTCCAAAAAAAAAAAAAAAGAAAAAGTGGAAACAGAGTGCATTTAAGGTGACTTTGGACAATGCTGTTTTCTGATTATCCACTGGAAATACCTTTTGAATTCACTAACGGTAGTCCTATCAATTTACAGATAAATATGTGCATTTTCACATTTATAGTGGTGATTCTATTTATTTATGTTTTCTTTGTTATTAACACATTTCTGCCACTTTCACAGAGGGGTCTATATGTTACACTTTTTTGCCTGTAGTATTTTGTATCTTAGTCATTTATGGAGATTGTCTTTTAAAGACCAGCAGTCATTCTTATGCAATTTTAGAGTGCCCTCTTTAGATATATAGGAATCCACACAGAATTATGTTGCATTAAAACTCCTGAACAGGAATCAATTGATTAAGAACCCTAAAGGTGCTAATCAACTAATGATTAATACACAGTACTTTAAACAAGGATAAATTATTTCTTCAAAATCCTTTTAGATTTTAAAATAATTGTTTGAATCATTATTATTTCAATAATTGTAATCACTGCTAATATTAAAATCGAGCAAATAGTATGATTAAACCATCTTCTTTATTAATTTATATCTATTGCAAATACTTCCTATTTATAACATCCCCAATCACATTTATCATTAAAGGATTAAAGAAGAAATGTCATTTGTATATCTGGATGACATAGTTAAACCATGTAAAGTGGTTAATATTCATCCGTTATCTCTGTGTAAGTTGCTGCTATGCTAATACTATTGTTCATAATTTCATATATTGTTTGTTAAACTACTCTGTCATTTAAGGTTTAACACCTGGTATACAATTAAAGATGAAGAGATGCTCAGAAAAATTACCAATAGGGAGTATAAATGCAAACATATGCTGTATCTTTCTTTGCCAGGCTTATCTATTCTGGTCCTCACTGAGGGGATAGCTCACTATTACTTAGAAAATATTTAGGTGGAAGTATTGACAGAATAGGTACAATGCACTAATTTACTCATAATTAATATGACTCAAACCCACCTTCTACCCATAACTAACTTAATTAAACTTTGTTCTGTACACTATGTACTATGATCAAACTATACAATTGGTGATTAAGTTGAAAACTTTATTGCTGTAAAAGATATTTTGCAGTTAATCCCCCTCAAA